GGAAGCAACCTAAGTGTCCATCAGTAGATGAATGGATTAAGATGTGGTACATATACACAATGAAATACTATTCAGCCATAAGAAAGAAACAAATCCTACCATTTGCAACAACATGGATGGTGCTGGAGGGTATTATGCTCAGTGAAATAAGTCAGGTAGAAAAAGACAAATACCAAATTATTTCCCTTATTGTGGAGTATAACAACGAAGCAAAACTGAAGGAACAAAATAGCAGCAGACTCACAGACTCCAAGAAGGGACTAGTGGTTACCAAAGGGGAGGGAGGGGTAGAGGGAGGGTGTGTGGGGAGGGAGGGAGGAGATTGTGGGTTATCATGATTGGTGCACATGGTGTGTGTGTGGGGTCACAGGGAAGACAGTGTAGCTCAGAGAAGACAAATAGCGACTCTGTGGCATCTTAACTATACTGATGGACAGTGACTGCAGTGGGGTGTAGGGGAAACTTTATAATAAGGGTGAATGTAATAATTACATTGTTTTTCTTGTGAAACCTTCATAAATGTATATCAATGATACCTTAATAAATAAACAATAGTGAAAATAAAGTAAGATGGGAGGGCAGAATGACTGGGAGGCTAATGTGCTTGTGAGGTATTTCATGATAAACGGATTGAAGGGGAGCAATTCTGGAGCAAGGAAACCAAGTAGGCACTGTAATGATGCAGGAGAGAGATGCTGATGGCGTGAACCAGGTAGGGGCAGAGGGGTACACATCTCTGCATCTAGATACAGTGGATCCCTTTACCAAGACAGGGCAGTTGGCCATCCTGGGTCTGGAGTGCAGGTGGTCTGGACTGAAGGCATAGATTGGGGAGTCATCTGTGTTTGGGTTGCATATCGGTTTGCTATGGTGGCCATAACAAAGTACCACAGAGTTGGTGCTTGAAAAGACAGAAATTTATTCTCACAGTTCCGTTGGCTATAAGTCTGAAATCAAGATGTTGACAGGGCTATCCTCTCTCTGAAGCTTTGAAAAGAGAATCTTTTCTTTCCTCTTCCAGCTTGAGTTGCAGCTGGAGCACTTCAGTGTCCACCTCTGTCATCAAATGGCATTCTTCTTCCATGTCTGTCTTTACAGGGCCAGTTTCCTTTTAGAAGGACTCCAGGCATATTGGATGAGGGCCTACCCTAATGACCTCATCTTAACTTGACCACATCTGCAAAGACCCGATTTCCAAATAAGGTCACATTTATAGGCACCAGGGGTTAGGACTCCAACATATATTCTTAGGGGACACAATTGTATCCATAACGGGTCCTAGCTGAAGCAGTGGGAGTGTATAAGCTCTCCATAGGAGAGCTGAAATGGGAACTCTGACCTTTAGGAAGGCAAGTAAAAGACTGAGTAGCCCATGAAGAAGTCTGAGAAGGAAGCTCTCCAGTTGCACCTGCCACACAGAAGTGGCAGCAAAGTGTCCCCTGAACTAGATAATATGGCAGGTGTCACTGTCTTTACTGAATGCTGGGCCAAGGAAAGATGCAGAACCTGGGTAATGTAGACAGCCTTTCAGGAAATTAAGTTTATGGAAGGAAAAACCTTCTAAAGAACTAGGGAGGATGCAAGACCAAGGGGTTGTTGAGGAAGCTGGCAAAGGGTAATCCTAGCACAATGGAAGGAGGCTGATGACTTAGAAAATGGGCTCTGGAGTTAGGCTGATCACATTTGAATCCCAGCCTGGTGTGTTCCACAGCTGTGTGCTTTTAGGCTGTCTGCTTGACTTAACTATACATAAGTTTCCCTCTCTGAGAAATGGGGATAATTATACTACAATCTACTTCCTATGGCTGCTCTAAGGAGTAAATGACTGAAAAGGCACTAAAGTGCTTAGTGCAGTGTGTGGTACATAGTAAGTGCTCAGAAAATATTAACTCTTAAAAAAAGAGACAAGGAGATTTCAAGAAGTAGGTGGTAAGTAATATCAGAGATGGCAGACAGGACAAGGAGGTGGAGGGTCAAGAAAAGGTAAAGGATTTGGCAGAGCATTAACAGAGCCTGGAAAGAGTGGAGGACAGAGGTAAAAACAGTGAAAGACTACATAGGAGGAGAGAAGATGGAGCTTCTGTAGGCATGGAGATATGGAATGCTCTCTGTAGCAGCTTGGAAGTAAGGGAACAGGTGTTAGAAGAAAGAAGTAAACTCTGATTTGGGCTGACTTGGGAGGAGGGGAAAGTTTCTGGGAGTACTTGATACTGAGATAGAGGTGATACCATCTTTTAAATCTTTCAACTTTTTTTTCCAATTTGATACCACAAATATCCCCTTTTGCTGTGCTAAGCCTGGGCATCCAGGGGAAACTCTTCTACAAATGAGGAATGGGCACTAAGAATGTTTGTGGGTAAGTGGTGACAAAGCTCAGCGAGGATAGCGGGTGGAAGGGAGGCAAATGAGGAGCTTGGATGTGGGTTTGTCAGGTTTCAGAAGTCTGAGAAGCACCTGGCTAGAGAATGCCTGGCTCAGAGTTTGGTAGAAGGTGGGAAAGACTCAGGGCTGGAGATATAGGTTAAGAGCCATCAGTAGCAGGTGGTCACCAATACCAGGGAATGGATAAAATAACCTACAGAGGCAGACCAGGAAAGAATGAGGCTGGTGGAGGAAAACAAATCACCAAAGGAGAGGGGTGGCAGAAGGTTGGGCTGTGGAAGCTGTGGCAGGAACACTTCTCTGGATGGAGCCGAGAGAACCAAAAACCATCCACAGAATATCTCGGTTGAGGGATTGTGGACAAGGCCATCTCAGTGGAGGGGTGGGGTGGGACAGAAACCAGATTTGGGTTGGTGGAGTGTGAAAGAAAGATGAGGAAGCAGAGACAGTAGACTGCTTTCAGGAAGTTTGGTGTTTAATTGATAGTGGTACAGAGGACAATAGTTAAGGAGGCAGGGGTTTTGTTTTTATTTTTTAAACAGCAAAGGCCAAACAACATCAGGTGGGCAGGAGCAAATGTAAAGAGAGTGACAGAAAAAAAAGGAAGACATTTCGCTAGAATGCCTGGAGCCCTTGTTATGTATGTAGCACCTGAAAATATTTAAACAACCAGAAAATTACATGCACAAACCCTTCAACTGAACAGGGAAATTAATCGAACCGCGTTGTTGCACCTGCTCATTCTTATCCACAGGAATAGAGTATGTAACTGTTGAATGTGTGAGCGTTGTTTCCTGCCTCTGTGTGGTCGTGGGGACTACTTTCCTCTGCAGCGCCCCCACTCCGGGTCCGTGCCACATTTTTAATCTTACTGCACACAGGGCTCACTTTTCCTAGGAGCTTCCTCTCATCTCTCCCTCTTAACCTCGGAGATAACCAGTCCACACCTGAGCTCCCTCTTTACCTTCCTTTTGATTTTTTTTGTCACCGGGGTTACACCGTGATTTATCTTGCTCGACTTCCCGCAGACTGGTCTCCTGATTTCCCATTCCAGAAGCTCAGGGCTGTCACAGGTAAATTGGTCCTCAACAGTCTAAGGGAGGGTGGTCATTCCTGTGTCCTTCACGGCCGAGCTTTGTGATTTAGTTGTTTTATCATATTTTCTCTTTCCCTGTCCAGTGTACCCCATGCCCTGCCCGGGAGACAGAATTTTCAACTCTGTAAGGGCTGGAGGGCTGGGGTGGGCGGGGTGGCTGGTGGAAGGACAACTAAGGAAGCCGAAGCCGCCAACGTCCCGCAGAGGGCGCGCCGGGACCGGAATTGGCCGCGCTCGCGGCTGAAGGGCGTACGCCCGGGCCGGCCTTGGGACACCAGACGGAAGAGCACGTGGGGCTGAGCAGCGCGTGGGGGCACGTGTGCCACCCCAGGGCGCGCTGTCCCCGCTAAAAATACGCGCTACCCAGCGCTGGCAGTGTCCTCCCGGGTCGGGGAGGCGGACCTCGGCAGGCACTACTTCTAGAGTCGTTATTCTGGGAGGGAGATATTGGTTCCCTGGCCGGGCCTCCCTGGCTCCGGTAAAACCTGCGGCAAGCCTAGCACCGGGCCTCAGTCTTCTCATTTGTGTAATAGGGACCACTCATTTATTCAATGCCTATGTGCCAGGAGTCAGGCATAACTACACTGTTATTACTGTGGAGTTCACAGTCTGGCACTGCGGGGGAAAGGGGAAAAATAGGCAAATAAAAAGGATATTTTCGTATTTTCAAAAATGCCATGAGAAAAGCAAAGTAAGATGTGACAATGAGGAGTGTTAAGCAAGCTTGTACTTGAAGTCATCCTGAGAACGGAGGACACGTTCTAGCCCGTGGAAATTGCCCGCGCAGAGGCAATCGGTCCGAAGAAGCTGGCTAGTCAGAGGAAAGAGATTTGAAGGGAGCGGCCAGGAAGGCCTGCTTGGCCGGAGACCACAGCGCCCGGCACGGGGGTCCCTGAAACTAATCTAGGGCAGGAGGGAGACGTCAGAACAGCTGTGGTCTATGGGGAGGCTGGGATTGTCTGGAAGGGGCTCAAGGGAGCTTTCTAGGACGAGGAAAAATATCTTTATTAGGGTGTTGACTACATAGTTGAACAAACAGGTTTATCAAAACTCCGAGAAGAATTGTGTATTTTGCCATACAGAAGTTTTACCTCGAAAACAAAAGTGAGAGTTCCAGGCTTGTGAGCACAATCGTGGGCTGGAAAAGTTCCGCTGCGCCTTCCAGCTTACCTGCGGGAGAATACCGCCGCCCGGGGTGCGCGGGGCATCCTCCTGGGAGGGAAAGGGGGCGGGCCGGGCGAAGAGGTCCATACCCCACAGCGTGCGGGAAAGGGTGGTCTCGAGGTGGTGAAAGGCACCGCTTGCAGCCAGAATTGGGCTGCTGGCCCCGACCCCGACCCAGGTCGTCGGGGGCAACCTTGCAGCTGCGCCGCTCGCCCCGCCCTTCGCGTAGGAACCAGGTGGCAGTTGGGGAAAGACCAGCCGGTTTGATTTTCCGCGGCGGGTAGAAAGGGGCGGGGGGAGGGGCAAGGGGCCACCGGCCAATGGATTGGGTGGTGTATGTCTCGTGACAGCACGGGGGCGGGGCCCAGGTGTACTTACAGGTCTGCGGGTGGGGGCCTCGACCTCCGCGCCAAACCCGGGAGGCGGGGCCGGCGTGCGGGCTAGGGACTGCTCCTCTAGGATTGGCCTGTGCCCGGGAGGCGGGGCCTGTGCGCGCTGCAGCTGCGGGCTGCTATTGGCCTCAATTCAGGGCCCGCTGCCGGCGTGCGGGCGAGGCTCGGGGCGCGAGGACCGAGCCGGGCAGCTGGTTCGCGAGCCGAGGGAGGGGCCGGGGCGGTGGTAGAGGTGGCGGCGGCCGGTACTGGACCCGGCGGAATGAGCGAGGCGGAGGTGGCAGCGGTGGTCACAGCGGTCCCCGCGGCGACGGTGCCCGCTACAGCGACAGGGGTGGTAGCGGTGGTGGTACCGGTGCCCGCGGGAGAGCCACAGAAAGCAGGCGGCGGAGCGGGCGGCGGCGGGGTCGGAGCCGCCCCCGGCACCGCTGCTGGGACCCCGTCGGCACCGGGCCCCCGTAACCCTGGCAATCCGGCGACAGCACCCTCGGGGACCTCCGCGCTCCCAGCCCGGAGTCAGGCGGACAAGCCGGTGCTGGGTGAGGGGAGTGGCGCGTGCCAGGGATGCTCTAAAGGGTCGGTGGGATGGGGGAGGGGCATCGTGGAGCACGGAGGTGTAGGGAAGGCCGAAGGTTAGCTTGGCCTGGAGGTTCAAAGAACTAGCTGGGCCGGGGGCAGCAGAACAGTGACTTCCCGGGTGGGAAATCCTGCCCTGCTTACTGAGCCGGAGGGCGTGGTCAGCATGTCCAGCTGGGGCTTTGGGGTGGAGGATAAAACCTCAGGGTCTGGCCACGCCCCCGGGGCGGGAGACGGCCTAGCTAGGGTTAGTACTAGTTAAGACTCTGAGCCTGACAAGCAGGTGTGGTAGTGGGACCCTTCTGCTGGTAGGACGAGAAAAGCACTCAGTTATGCCCTGAGGGTAAGGGCTTTGTGCACCAGATGAGTACCCGGTTCTAGGTAAAGGGCTTGGATTTGTAGGATAAACATGCCTTAGACTTGGAAGGATTTTGAAAGTCTGTGAGACCCGATGTGAGTCTTTCCATTTGTCGGAACTGGAGCAAGAATGCCTTGAAGCTACTGGATAAAACCTGGAGGGTTTGAAGTTCAGCTCAGTAGGTAATAGGGAGACAGGTTAGATTTTCGAGTGTCTCAAAACTGAGTCCAACTCCGTCTCTTCCCTCATTTTACTGCCCTCACTGCATCTCTGCCTGGCAGCAATCCAAGTCCTGGGCACTGTCAAATGGTTCAACGTCCGGAATGGTTATGGATTCATCAACAGGTATCCGAGAAACCCCGGGAGGGGGTGGAGTGATTGTCTTCCAGACTGGTCTGTGGGACTGGACACCTGCCCAAGCTCATCGCTACCCCTGCTGAGGCACATGGTTGAGATGTCCAGCTGACGCGGATTGAAAATCTAATTGGAGCACGAATGTGGGCATGATGTAGTCTTGTCCACATCTTCAAGGGCTGCTGAGGGTTAATGATCTAGGAACTTGGCAAAACTGGCCCACCCTCCCAATTTATCCATCTTACCCTCTGCTTTAGTTCGCTTCCCTTTGGGGCAGAATGTACCTGCTTTCTGCGCCTGGGGCTCTGGGCTGGAATCCTCATTTCCTGTTTGAGGCAGCACACAGAGCATTCTCATAACTCATCTCCCTTGCAGAGCTGTTGGCTCATTTGAATCCCCACCTGAGGAGGCTGATAGGTGGGGGTTGGAGAAGCAAGGAGCCAGCCCCTCCTGAGGCTGCGGCTTTCTTTCAGTTGGGCAGCCCCACCCTCTCCCAGCACTGGGAGGGGCTGCAGTGGCAGATTCTGATCCGAGTCCAGGACTACCCAGTAGGCCCTTCCTCAGCCTGGGCACCCTGCCCAGCCCAGCCCTCCTGGGAGGCCCTGGTTCCCTCTTAGCAGGCTGACCTTTGTGCAGATTCAAGTACTTTAAAGCAAGAACATTTTTGTTCTCGGGAAGGGTCCCTCTCTAATTCTGGAGACAGGACTCCTGGGAGGTTTCTGAAGGAAAACCTCTCCACTGCCCCCGCACTGGGGTGCTAAGATGGATAAATTGGGGTAAGAGTCAAGTAGTGATAGAAAATGATTGAATATTATGTCTCACCCTTGGCCCTTAAGGGTGTTGGTTCACCTCCAGACTGAAGGTGAGAATCAAGTTTTGGGGCTGTTTAGAGCAGGTTCTTGACACATTGTTCCCTTCTCAAAAATGCTCCACACCTCTACCTGTCCCCACATTCTCTCTTCTTGACAATAGGAGGAAAGAGAGCAGAATTTCCAACTGTGATGGGGCTGGGAAAGAGGGGTGTTGACCAGGGACAGTTACACCCAGCACTACCAGGTTCTCCAGTGCCCAAGGGATACAGGGTGGTTAAGAACTAGCCCAGCTCCTTCAAGGTGCCTTTGCCTTCCCACTCCGCCCTTTCCTCATGAAGCCTAGGTTTTTGTCTAGGTTTCAGGTATACTTCTCTTCATACCAGCTTCTGGAGGCCCAGCTAGCTCTTGTCTCACTCCCTGGGCCCCATTTAACCCCAAGCAGCACGTGAGGCTGGAGCGGTTGGGCCTCCTGAACTTAGGAATGGGTAGCTAGGGAGGCCTGAGTGGAGGTGAGCATCCCACCGAAGTCACTCCCTAACAACCACCCTGTTCTGCAGGAATGACACCAAGGAGGATGTCTTTGTTCACCAGGTAAGAGTTAGGTTGGCTTTGTGAGGAGAGGAACCCATCCTCTGAAGGCCTTTGCCACAATCCCTAGCAGTATAGATCCTATTTCTCCAGCGTTTACCACCTAACAGCAGGCCCACCAGAGCACTAGGCAAGAGTTTGCCTCTCCCACCTGTCTCAGGTGCTTGTATTAACTGCCATTGGTCCCACTTGTGTTGGGTTTTTGTTGAAAGAAGTATGTTGTTCTCTGGCATGGTAAGCTCACCACCTACTGGGACCTGTTAACACTACAGGAATGAGTCAGGGGGAAGGGAGAGGATAGAGACACATGGATGCAGTGGCTCGAAGTGTGGTCTCTACCATCAGCCACAGCCGCAGCCCTATCAGCTGAATACTCAGGTCCTGCCCCAGACCTACTGAATCAATCAGACAGGGGGAAGGGCCTGGCAATCTGATTTAACAAGCTCTCCAGGTGACTCTGCTGCGTGCTGCAGCTTGAGAACCACTGCTTTGGTGGAAAAGGTGCTCAGTGGGATTGAGATAAGAGGCATAGCACGTTCTACTCAGTTTGTAACCTAAGACTGTCTATGCTTTTTGTTTTGCCTTTGAGTTCATGTTTCTTGCCTCCCTTTTAAAAAATCCCTAAGGTTAAAGGGAGGAAGGAGTGCATCCTAGAGACAGTGGTGACTGCACAATCAGTGCTGAGGCCCCTAGTTCATGGCTTTTTCCCTATTAAACTTTGACTACCTTCTCCTTGCTCCACCATCCAGCCCTGGCACACAAGTAAAATGTTGAAAAGAATGAAATTGGGTAGTGGACACAGCAGGGGTACGAGAGACTCTGGGCATGCTGTCCTCACCTTTCTCATGACCTTTCTCCTAACCAGACAGCTATCAAAAGAAACAACCCCAGGAAGTTTCTGCGCAGCGTTGGAGACGGGGAGACTGTGGAGTTTGATGTCGTGGAAGGAGAGAAGGTTTGAGAGCTGTAGTGAGATACAGAGCCAGCCAAGTTTGCGGGAGGATGGCCTGGAGGCCATCCCAGGCTTTGGCTCTCCCAGCCCTTCCTCTGTGGGAATAGGACTGTGTTCTCACGCCAAGGTTGTTGTCTGTAACACTCTGGCTGGTGTAAGGGGAGGACACGTCCTAAAGAACGTGTCCTTGTCATCAGGCAGTAATAATCTGGTTTCTTTGTAGTTCAGCATGCACTTCTGTGCCTGTCCTCCACATGGGGTCATGTCCCCAGGTCCTCAGAGTCAGCCTCTGTAGTTAGGCGGACAGTGGCTTACAGAATTCTTTCTCCATCCCTGCCTCCACCCCACCTCCACTCCTAAACTCAAGAGGATCCATAGAAGCTATTTGAAAAGGACAAGATACAGAGGTGGCCCCTCCTAGAAGGGTCCAAACACATGCCATTGCCCCTCCTGGGGGAGGGTGGGAAGAGGTACAAGTTAAAGGATCTGAAGGAAGAGGACAGGGGTTTTAGCTGGCCAAAGGGGAAGACAAATGACTGGAATGAGTCTGGGACTGCTGTGCATTTGATGTTAACAGCAGTTCTGTGTCCTCCCCACCTCTTTCCCAGGGTGCAGAAGCTGCTAATGTAACTGGGCCTGGGGGTGTGCCAGTGAAGGGCAGCCGCTATGCCCCCAATCGACGTAGGTTCCGCCGATTCATCCCCCGGCCTCGCGCAGCTGCCCCACCACCCATGGTGGCAGAGGTTCCATCAGGTGGGACAGAACCAGGCAGTGAGGGGGAGCGAGCTGAAGACTCTGGGCAGAGGCCCAGAAGACGGCGCCCACCACCCTTCTTTTACCGACGTCGTTTTGTGCGAGGCCCTCGGTCCCCCAACCAGCAGCAGTCTATAGAGGTGAGGGGGACTGGGGGTATGGAACAACTGCCCACGTCCTGGGAAAGGAGTGGACCTTGGCCAGGCTAGACAGCACGGAGCCCCCAGAGGAGGCGAAACCAACTCTGGGGAAAGCTGTGGATACCTGGGTCTTGGGCAGCTGGCTTCCCAGGCCTTTATACCTTCTCAGGGCACTGATGGGCTAGAACCCAAAGAGACAGCCCCATTGGAGGGGGATCAACATCAGGGAGATGAGCGGGTCCCCCCACCCAGATTCCGGCCCAGATACCGAAGGTAAGATTCTCTTCTAGGGCCGCCTTCCCTTCCCCATTCGGTGTTGGTCCCCTGGGTGGAAGAGGACTGGAGGATGAGATGGGGAAGAGCAAAGTTCTAAGAGCCTGAAGCCAGTGGTGAGGGGCTAGGTAGCTGAGTGATTACTGCTTAGGCGCCACTGGGGCTGGAAGCTTGGCTTCTGGGGGCAGGAGTGGGGCTGGGAGGGAGGTGCTCTATGCAGGCTCCTGGCTCCCTCCAGCACCCCCACTTTCCTCCCCAGGCCTTTTCGCCCCAGGCCACCCCAGCAGCCCACCACAGAAGGTGGGGATGGTGAGACCAAGCCCAGCCAAGGCCCCACTGATGGGTCCCGGCCTGAACCTCAGCGCCCACGAAACCGCCCCTACTTCCAACGGCGACAGCAGCAGCCGCCTGGACCCAGGCAGCCCACAGCCCTGGAAGTGAGGACCTTGGGTGTCTACATGGGGCTGTGTGTGTGTGAGAGAAAAGCTGGGCCGACCTCCCTCTCACCTTTCTGTCTTCCTTTCCCTCCCCTTCTCGCTCTGTCCCTTTGCTGCCTCCTCTCCTGGCCCTGTCCCCACCCCACCCCCTTTCTTGCAGCCTGACACCAAAGAGCCAGCAGTGCTGGGTCCACCTCTGGCAGGTGTCCCTGCTCACCAGGAAACCCCAGAGGCAATTAAGTGTGTGTCACCCCCTGTACTTGGCTGTGTGGGGGTGACAGCACCAGGCTGGGGGTGCACTGGGGAAGAATGGGAGGAAAGGTGGGAGAAGGTTGAAGTTGGGGGCTCTAAAGAACAAGAGGGTCTCAGCTGAGCTTCCCTGTTCTCTCTAGACCTCAGGCCCCATTGACAGTGGGGACCCCACCACCACCATACTGGAGTGACTCCAATTTAGAGGACACCCAGAGCTACCATCTGGTGAGTGGCAAGCAGCTCCAGGGGCAGGCCAAGGCAAGTAGCCAAGAGGGTGGGGGACTGGGTTGTGATAAGTTGCTAGTCATGATTGGCTCATTTCTCTTTCTCTTTCAGGTATCTGCCAGTTTTTCCAACTGACCTGTACCCTACCCAGCACCTTCTCCCCGCTTTCCCATAATTCATGACATCAAAACACCGGCTTTTCCCCCTTTTCCTTGAGACTCAGGAGGGCCAAAGCAACAGCCTTTTGTTTGTTTTTTTTTTTCTTTTCTCTCCTTTACCAAGAGTTGAAGGGATCCATCCTTACTGTTCAGAGGCAACAACTTCCTCCCCTAAATTCAGGCTGAGAAGAAACCAGCCAGCTCTTACCTCCTCCTGGTTGTTTTTCTTTCCCACCCCAGTTTATTTTTGTTTCTCTTCTACCCACATCTCTGAAGCCGTTTTATGAACTGTCATGTGCCACCTGAGCGTCCAGTAAAAACAAAAAAACAGGCTTTCCTGTTGTCTTGGTCTCTGCCTCTTTTCTGTTCAGAGAATTGCTGAAAACTCACTACTGAAGGAGGGTGGAGGAGGACCGGGCAGTGGGCAGGGTCTGCTCTTGAATCCCTGTTTTCCTGTGTTTCTAGCTATGCAGCTATGAATAAGTGCTTTCACCCCTGTGAGATTCACTTTTCCCATCTGCAAAATGGGAATAATGTTTTCTCTGTAGAATGAATGTTTTGTAAAGTTCAAGGCTACGACTTGAGCATTTACTGTTAATAAAAGCAATGACTATAAATACAAGTGGGGGCATGAGTGACAGCATCCAGAGGATTCTTCAGTCTTGAGCTGAGGCAGGATGGCAAGGGAGGCAGAGGGGGGGAAAAGTAGTTCTGGTCCCTGTCTCCGCCCATCCTTGAGTGCTTCTATGACAGGACGCTTGTCTCATACAGTGACTTTATATGTGTATCTCTATATATATACATTAAGTACAACAGACCTTTGGTTTTTTCTCCTCCCTACCCCTTCTTTTTCAAACATATACAAAAATATCTGAAGGCTCCTCCTAGCCCAGTGTTTATAGGCAGCCTTTCAAATCCCTCTTTTCCATAGTTGGTCAAAAGCCTGTGGGTCCAACACCCTTCCAGGATGGGAGAGGAACAAACAGCTGGTGCCCCCTGCTCAGCAGCTTTGGGGAACAGCTGGGGTAGGGCACAGAGACCTAAGTCTAGAGGTGGAGGCTGCTGTCCCTTCCTCTCACCACATCTGGGCACATGTTCCTTCACCCCAGGAGGCTGAGTGACAGGACTGAGCCTGCAGTGAGAGAGGTGAGCTTAGACCTTGGGAGGGCATGTCCTTTACCCTATAGGGGTCAAGACAGAACCCCCTTTACCCAGAGCCTATGGGGCAAGAATTTGGAGAAAGTGCCAGTGAGTGGGAGGAGTCTGAGGTGGCAGGAAACTCGATTTCTCCAGTCCTGTGTTCTGCTTTAGGTCACCACCACTAAAACGTCAATCCTAGAGCCTCCAATCCCCTTCTCTAGCAGGGGAGTGAAAGTCTGGAGCGGAGTTGGGTGGGCTATGGAGGAAGGAGGGATGAAAGGGGAGAATGGCCCATCCTGATGGCCATATTCTAACCATAACATAAATAATCCAAGAGAGTTATACAGGGGGACTGTATAACTACAACATCAGAGCCTCCAATCCCCTTCTCTAGCAGGGGAGTGAAAGTCTGGAGTGGAGGGCAGTGGGCTACGGAGGAAGGAGGTATGAGAGGAGAGAATGGCCCATCCCAATGGCCACAGCCTAACCATAACATAAATAACCCAAGAGAATTATACAGGGGGACTGAGGGCATGCTCGGACCACCCTTCCCTCCAGCTTCCCAATTCCACCAGGCTGTGGGTATTTTCCACCCTGGAAGTAATGGGGAGGAGAGGGTTAAAGTGCTTCAGAGGAAAGGAGGGGGTCTCTGAGGAGGTCGAGAGAACTGGCTCTCCCTCCCCAGCACAGCCCCTCAGTCATTCTCATCTGGCCCTAAGTACTCAAGTTCCGTGCTGGGTTTCACCTCCTGCTCTAAAAGAGAGGGTGTCCGGCGGAAGGCAGCTGAGATCTGGTCAAACGTCCGGCCTCGGGTTTCGGGCACTTTTAAGAATGTGAAGATGAAGAAGCCAAGCAGGAGGACCGCAAATAGAAGGAAGACGTAGGGACCCATAGCATCCTGGGACAGGTGGAGAAAGAGGTGTTGACAGAGAGGAGGGACAGGCTGGTCTCAGGCAAGCCAGGAACTTAAGTCCCTCACAGGGGGCTGGGATCCTGCAGAAAGCAGGTAGCTGCTTTGCAGGGCAATGGAAATTACCAGGAATGAGAATTTAGTGAAAAAAGGATTCTCTGTGCCCCAGCTTTCTTTTAAGGTTTTGCCCTCTTTACTCTCCTGAGTTACTGCACTCAGAGTGGATTTCCAGCCATGTGCAGTACTAATATAAAGTTTAAAATATTTAGTCTAAATAAATTAGGCCACTAGTTTTGAAGATACCTCTGTTGCTATCTGATCTAGTTCAGCTCCCATCTTTCACCTGATTGTGGTGGAGCACTGTTCTTCAAAGTGGCCCCTGGACCAGTAGTAGTCTGCGGGATGGGGGAGTCCCTGACTAGACAGTGAGTGGGTTAGCTGTGAGCTGCCCTCTGGCCAATGGGGTGGGAGATTGGAATGGGGCAGGGGACTTACCGCAACATACTGGAAACCCATGCCAATGATGAAGTTGCACGTCCAGTTGGAGAAACCAGCCACAGCCATGGCTGCTGGGCGAGGTCCCTGGCTGAAGAGCTCGGCCACAATGAACCAGGGGATGGGGCCAGGGCCAATCTCAAAGAATGCCACAAAGCCAAAGATGGCCACAACGGAGACATAGCTCATGGCTGGAATCCGCTCCTAGGAGCAGGAAGGATGGAGGATTCAGGTCAGATCTTTCTGGATCTAACTTTGCCCTCCACCCAGAGAACTGAAACCTATCCCTCCCAGCAGTTCACCGTGGATGGGGTCGGGGTGGGGAGCTGCCACCCTAGGTTAGAACAGGTCCTTGAGCATTTCTGAGCACTGACATTTAGCTGGCTGCCCTATGTTATGGTCTCTCTCAGCTATTAGGACAGTCAATATTCCCTTGGTTCTAAAGCTGAGTCCTTAGGAATTATTGTTTCTGAGGCTGGAGAGTGGTTCTCCTTCCTGGCTTCCAGAATTGTGCTACAGCAGCCTCCCAGAGTGGAGCAAGTGTAGCCTGGGTCCCTTGGAGCACAGACCACGATCTGGGTACACAGCTGGCCCCAGGATTAAAGGCATGTGTGTTGAGGTGTGGCACTAGCTGGCCACAGATCCTCTTGGGGCCATTCCCGCAGGTTGGGCCACTGGTCCCCTTCCCACAGCCCAGGCCTCACCAGCAGAAGCAGGGCCACAGTCATCAAGATGGCACAACCACACATTCCTGCCAGGCCCAGGAGATGGAGTGTCCGGCGCCCAGCCCGCTCCACCAAGAACACCTGCAGGGAGAGACAGGGCTTGGCAGGGGCCCTCGGGGCACAGGAAGTGGGAGAGGTGGGTGGGTGGGTGGGTGGCAGCAACCCAGTTATGTGAAGCCAGTGGTGATGGCCATTCCAGAGGCCAGCAGTTACCGAGACCAAGGTGAAGACTGTGTTCACCACTCCAGCTCCTATGGTGGCATAGGCGGGCTGCCCTACCCCTGCCGTCTCGAAGATGCTGGTTGAATAATAGAAAACCTACAAGTGGGGTGAGAAGAAAAGAGGATGACCGAGATGACCATTCCTCCCCTGTGCTCACACCAAGCTGGACTGCCCGTTCTTCCCTCCTCTTGGACTGTTCCCTAACTCTGCCCTTCCCGGAGGCTGCTGCATACGTACAGCATTGATGCCTGAGAGCTGCTGGCTCAGCTGCAGCACAACTGCAATGACTAGGGGCTGCCGGTGGGTACGGCTGCCCAGGAGCTGGAGCAGGGACAGTGGTCGCTCGAGCTCCAGCTTCCGCTTCTCCTCTTTCAGCTCAGCCAGAGCTCCAGACACGTCGGCCCAGCCCGTAAGGCGCTTCAGACCTGGAGGTGAGGGTCAGGCCTGAGAGGGCAGGGAGGGGGCTTGGCGGGAGGAGAGGTGCTAGCAAGAGTGGGTGGAAGCTCACTCTTTCTGGCGGGCCCCTCCAGGTTCCTGATGATATAGAGGTAGCGGGGGCTTTCTGGGCAGAAGGGCAGCAGGACCAGCTGCAGGAGAGCAGGCAGCACCGTGATGCCCAGGAGTAGTGGCCATAGGGTGGCAGTGCCCAGCAGGGACTCCAAGCCCAGCACCTGTGGGAGAAGAATGGGAAAGAGGGCAGGGCTTCAGCCTGTTCCCTAGAGCCCTACTCCAACCCCCTGCATAGCCCCCCATGAGACCAGAACCAGTCACCTGGGCTATCAGAATGCCAATGACGATGGCCAGTTGGTTAAGCGTCCCCAAGGCACCCCGCAAGTGAGTGGGGGCGATCTCCCCCACATACATGGGCACCAGCCCTGATGTCAGCCCTGGGCAGAAGGGAGAAAAGAAGTCTGAGGGCAGCTGCCCACTCCCACCCCCCAGGCCTGGGATGGCGAAGGAGATCACAGCACCGAGCAGGGCCATGGTGCCCTTGGGTACCTGAGTAGGCGCCAATGAGAAACCGTCCAAGAATGAGCATCTCATAGGAGGCAGCAGCATTGGCCAAGCCCATGAGGGCACCCCCCAGCACAGCCAGGGCATTGTTGACCAGCATTGCCCTCTTCCTGGCAGGCAAAGAGTGAAGTGTAAGAGTTAGGGTGCCAGGCTGGGGCCCCTTCCCCATCCCCCCACCTTTGCCCTCCAGTCCTATACCTTCCCAGCCACTGAGAGATGATGCCAAGGAGGAAAGAGGAGATCATGCCGCCCACAGAAAAGATGGCCACGGAGAGAGCCCAAAGGGTGGTGAGAGTGCCTGGTGGAATAGAGCCTGGTCCCTCAGGACCCTGCCTCCCTAGCCATGTCTCGTTGTAGCTCTGTTCAATCACCTGGAAGGACAGCAAAGGAGTGATTCCCTTCCCTCTCTGCTCACCCCTGGTGTCCCTGGGGAACATCCTTTTCTGGGCATCCCCACTCTGCCAACTGCAGGCCCCTCACCTTCTGAGGTGCATTAATGACCCCGATGTTGTAGCCAAACTGCAGGGAGCCAAGCACAGCAGAGAATACGGCGAGGACCAGGGTCGCAGTGACTCGCTGCTGAGGGGGTTCCCCTTCCTGGGCAGGCAGAAGCAGAGAGGAGGAAAAGCACACGGAATCATGGTTTCTTTCCTTTCCCCAGGGGCCCAAGTCCAATCGAGGCCTCAAGATGCTGGGCTCCATCCAACATATTAGGCAAAGGAAAAGGGGCCATATTAGGAATCGCATGAAGATCTCAATGTAAACAGAAGCAAAAAGAACCCTACAGTAACCAGGGTATGGAGAAGAAACTAGATCTTTGATTACAGCAGGCAGAGAAATGTTTGGGGACCTAAGTCTCACAATTCCTCTGTGACCTTGGGTCAGGCTTGCCTTAACAGTTTAGATTTGTGTGACCTTGGGCAAGTCACTTTTCCACTTTTAACCTAGGTCTCCGCTAGGTTAAGGGAGATAGAGTTGATGGTGCCTGCTTTGCCTGTCAGTGAAAAGTGTGAAAATCAAAATCAAATGTTAACAGTATCCCTGACAGTGCTGGGTTTGTAAAATGATAAGTACATTATCACTATCGGCCTCTGTCCTCTTCCCTCCCCTCTGGAGGTTCTCTCAGCTTTCTCCTGGAGGCCCCCACTAGGCTCAAGAAGAGCAATTCCAAAAAGGACATCGAGGTCATTCCTCTAGGCCTAAGGCCCTTGGGATGGCCTTTTCTGTCTCCGCCCCGGCCTGTCCTCCCCCTCAAGATCCGATGAAGGGCGGGGGGCCGCGCCCGGCTTTTGCCTGGGAGAGTCATGCCCAAGAGATGGGGGCGGGAAGGTGGTGTGAGGGGCGGTGGCGGGGTGGCCGCTCGCTGGCGGCACAGACTGTCTCTAGGCGGAAACCTGAGCTGGGGGAGGGGGGGCTGACACTCCCCTCAGCCCCTCCACCAACCATGGAGCCAAGGGAAAGTTCAGCGTCCTGGAGGACGGCCACGAGTGGGGGTGGGGGCCCACAGAGAGGCTCTGGTCCTCGAAAAACTTCCCGCTAGCTGGAACAGACGGACAGCTCCTGGAGGGCTACTCTCCTGGATCAGCTTTCGCAGGCTGTAACGAGGGCAGTGTCCCCAGAAGGGGGCGAAGCCGGGACTCGCATAATGCAGGTGTACTCGTGCCCCCGAAAGGTCCCCCAGACCCACTCAGCCTCTTAGAGGGATTGTTACCTGACAGTCACGGGTTGTCCAGCCTGGGTATAAATAGCCAGGCCCTTACTTCCATTCCCTGCGTCTGTGCAGGGACCGCCCCTTAGCTGACCCCAAAAGCGACTCCACCCCAAGAAAAGCCGGACCCGTGCCCCCGTCCCGCTCCCGCATGCCGAACCCTACTTCTGAGCCGATTTGTTGAAAGCCAGAGGGCATCTTCTCTTAAGAGCTTGCGGCGCAGGGGATGCAGTTAACAGGGAGGCGACTGGGGGTCGAGGGCCCCGGTTTGGCAGGCAGAGGGCGCCGGGGCGACGTGGGTCCCGGAGCGATGTGCGGAGGGCGGGCCTGATGGGACCCACAGCCACAAGCCAAGGATCCAGAGAGCGGAAGGGCTCCCGGGAATCTGGCAAAACCAGGGTGACCGCGAAAAGACACAGAGCCCCTGCAGCCCCCACGGGCCACGCCCTTCACATCACCCATTGGCCAGGAGGCCACGCCCCCTCCCTAAGCCGGGGATATAGAGTTTGGCACCAGATAGCGGGTTGGCCAGCGAGGCCACGCCCCCTCGGTGCGCCGGGAGAGACACTGCCCCAGGGTTCCCGCCCGCCTTCGGTTGGGAAGTTTTGAGAAATAGGTCCTCGCAGTACGGAAGAGCCCGCCCCCTTCGTGTGAAGACTCCGCCCACCAGGCCAGGTTCCCGCTGAGGCTACTTAAAAGTTCTGCGCTTCCGGGCTGCAGTCCCAGGATCTGAGGGGAGGTTGTGTGGGCCAGGTGTGCTAGCCGGGTAGAGAACTCCGGCGACCTGAGGCTGAGGGTGCGAGCTGGCGCGCGAGGTGGGAGAGGAGTAATGACCTAAAGTAACCCACAGTGGTTATTTTTAGCTCCCACTTTGGGAAAAGCCAAATGTCAGGTCCCGGGTGTCTCGGCCTGTCCCGGGCGGGGGAGGGCAGGGAAACGGAGCCTTAAAGCCTTAAAGGGTCCGCTACACGCTTCTCATGCGGGGATGGCCTTGGAGGACGGGAAATTCCGTTCCTAGCGGGCTGTGTGTCTGGGGTTGGTGGTCCTCTTTCTCTGCATCCTTGCTGAGGGCATTGCCTATCTGGCCCTTCTTCTACCCGCGTTCCCCACCAATGTTGGTTCCTGGAGGCGGCCCGAGGAACAGGTGGTCACACCAACCATGCCACCAGCCCTGAGGTTTCTGAGCCGCCCATGAAGATGCTGGTCGCGTGGACAGTTTGGACACGCTCTCCGCAGGCCGCTCCGGGTTTGGATCATCAGCTAAATCTTGCCCAGGGAGAAGAAGGGCGAGACCTAGAGTTGGCACGTCCTTGGAGAAGCGGAATACTCTGTACAGGGAGCGCGCAGCTCGGTAAACGGGTTTCAGTAGCGCAGGGCTGTAGTGCCATCTGGAGGGACAGCGAGAATCCGCAGCGCATTCTCTGAAGTTTCCGTTACATCCCGCCGGGTAACTCGTTCTGGAGCTCCAGATTCCAGTGCTCAGCTCCGCCTAGATGGGGCAGCTCGGATGCCCAGCATGTCCAAACATGCTCTTCCTCATCCCGGTGGATGGCCCCATTAGCCACCCTGTCACTCCTATCAAAATCCTGGAAGTTTCGCCTGATTCATTTTCTCTTGCATCCTCTTTTATCCAGTTAGTTACCAGCATTGGTGTTTTGACCTCTAAATTCACTTTCATCTGATTTCCTCCACCGGTACTGTTGCCACTTTGATGCAGACCATCATCACCTTCACTGGTCTTCCTGCTCCTCCTCTTCCCTTATACAGAGGGCAGAGTACAATACAAAAAAAGTTCAACCTCATTACTCCTGCTCAAAAGTCACTGGCCCTTTGTTGCCCTCACTTGTCAAGTTCAAATTCTTTTTCAGAGTGAATAAAACCTGCCTTTCTTACCCTATCTCTGCTTCACCTTCTATCCTTTCTTCTCATGTTTTAATCAATACCTAATTGTTGTACCCAGATCCCACTTTGCTATTTCACTGCCTTTGTCATACAAATTCCTCACTCTGAACACCAGAGGACTCCTAGTCAGCGCTCACCCACTCTGTGAAGCCTTTCTTGGCTTTCCTCCAGAAAACCATGTGTTTCCAGTGTAGTATATTGTCATCATTTCTTCTTCGTACTTCAACCTTGAGGGCAGGTTACCTTGTTTATCTCTGTATCCCCAGCATCCAGCATAGAGGCGGATGCTCAGTAAATGTTGAGGGAGTGTAATGAAGACCTGCTCTTTATGGCCAAGAAGGCAGATAGTAGAGCAATCACAAAGGAGGGAACCATTTGGTGAATGGCTCCACCTATCTGACTAACAGGGTGTAGATGAACTGAAGTCTGAACATTGAGGAGAATCAACCATTTATGAGCAGAAAGGAGCAGCAATGGCTGATGGAAGCAGAGAGGGACCAATCAGGAAGGTAAAACCGTGGATACCGGAATACCACAAAAGGAGGAGATGCAAGGAGAAGCGGAAAGCCCACAAAGGTGCCGAGGGGAAAAGCAGGGGTAGGAGGGAGGCACAGATCATCCGTGCAGATGAAAAGTCAGTGTAGTAGGTGGAACACAGGGCTGGGGTCTGTCCTGCCACTTGGGGCAAGGCACATTCCTGCTCTCACTGATGCTTTGTTACTGATGCTTATCAGGGACATTTGTAGGGGTTTAAACCCCAGGGAAAGGGAGCATCAAGGAAAGCAAGTCACAGGTAGATACAGCAGATAGAGTAGTTTACAGATAAGAAATATAAGGGGAGAGTTGGGAGAGGGAAAGAGATATGGCATTGAAGGTAGGGGAAAGAGACTGATAGAGGACTGGGAAGGAAGGAGTGACACGTGACAAAAGTGAAACTTTGCATTGGAGCGTGTGTATGTGTGTGTGTGTGTGATGATTTTACACAGTAATCCTTGGCCTGTTTGATCTCAGAACCAGTTTTTGCCCTCCTAAACTCTGCCCTATATCATTGGGAGCTAAGTCCTGCAGACTTTTGTTTTCCAAGCTCCTGTGTCCACTGCCTGCCTGTAGGGGTGAGTTTGGCCCATTGTAGGTAAGAGATTGGAGGGCAGGAGAAAGCCAGGATATTTCTGCTCCTCTCTGCCTCCAGCTCCTACTCTACAGGCCCACTCTGTTACCAGCTTCTGGAGGGAAACCTTGACTCCTGAGCTCCAATAGTGCCATCTCCTTCCTTTGTCCCTTCACTGCATTTTATCTATATATTAAGGTGTCAGGGGCAGAAGATTCAATTAATGACATGATTCTTTGCACATTGTCTTTTTTGATCTATGCTTATTCTATTTTTATTTTTTAAACTAGTCTCTTTTATTTCCATACCCGTTTCTCATTTGTCCTCCTTCAAATGACAACCATTTCAATGCATTTAATGATTGTTTTATTTGTACTCTTGTAAAATATTATTTTGTGTGTATTCTACATTTATGAAAATATCTTGTTATATGTTATATTTCATTCTGATCTTATTTTCAGTAAGCACTCTGCTTTAAAAACTCACTCAAAAAAACTTAAAATTAAAAACTGATTATCAAATTTATTGTTGCATAATACTCCACAGTATCAGTCACATCCCATTTTATTTGCTCACATTTGCATGGATGAGCACCCATGTCACCTCCAGTTCTCCACCACAGCAATGTGGCAATGAACATTTTCATACAAGATTCACTATGGACTCCTATGAGAACTTCTTTGGGAGATATATCTCTACCTTTGCTTATGCCTATGTCTTTCTTTATATTTCTCTCCTTGAGCGGAAGTGCTGAGTCATAGGGTATACTTATTCCTAATTTGATTAAGTACTACCAACTTACTCAGGAGAATCACTGTCCCAGTCACCACTACCATCAGCAGTGCAGAAGGGTTTTGCTGCCTCACACCCTCTCAGACAGCATCCAAATGCAGCAGTTAAGAGAATGGGCTCTGGGTCCAAAAGGCCTGAGTTTGAGCCCCAGCTCTGATACTAACTTGGTGCCCTTGGGAAAGTTACCTAAGCTCTTTGTGCCTTCTTTACCTCATCTGTAAAATGAAAAGGGAGATAATAATAGTATCTACATCTTAGGGTTTTAATGAAGATGAATAATGTGATACTCATATAGTGCGTAGAATAGACTGAACTGAGTAAGGTGTTTTGTTGTTTTTAAACAGTGTTGAGACATAACTGACAAACAATGAACTGCACATAAAGTATACAATTTGATACATTTTGACAAATATATACACCCATGAAACCATCCCCATGATCAAGAAAAGGAATGTATCTATCATCTTCCAAAGTTTCTTGTACCTTTTTGCAAACTCTCCCATCAGCCCTTTCTTTCCCTCACTCTCTAGGCAACAACTGATTGGTCTTCTGTCATAGACTAGTTTGCATTTTCTAGAATTTTATGTAAATGGAATCATATAGAATGTACTCTTTGGCTTCTTTCACTTAACATAATTATTTTGAGACTTACCCATGTTGTTCTGTGTAGCAAGACTTTATCCCTTTTTATTGCTGAATAGTATTGATTTGATTACCAATAGTAATCAGTTTGGTTATCCACTCACCTGATGATGGACATATGGGTTATTTTGAGTTTTAGACAATTACAAATAAAGCTGCTAGGACATTTCATGTACAAGTGTTTGTATGAACACATGCTTTCATTTCTCCAGGAAAATATTTAGGAGTAAAATGGCTGGATTACAAAATAGGTGTATGTGTAACTTGCTATGAAACTGCCAAACTGTTTTCCAAAGTGGTTGTACCATTTTATATTCCCTTCAGCAATGTATGAGAGTTCCAGTCCCTCCACATCCTCACCAACACTTAAATGGTCAATCTTTTAAAATCCAGCATGGATTATGTGAGATTTTTTTTTCCATGCTTATCTTTAATATATATTGTAGGGAAATATGTAGGGGATGTGAATAACAAAGTAAGTCCAGCTCCGCATTTATCTCATTCTGTTCAGTTTCTATAATGGATGGATCCACTAGAATTTGTTCACCAGTTCTCTTTTGTTGCCAGTGTCTCGGATATTCTGTCCTTTACACCTGGTAAGGAGCCCTTTGCTTGGTGACACAGCTTTAACTGCCACTGGAGTGGCTAGGTTTGAGTTGTATTTTGATAAAATCTGAAGAATATCTTCTGGAATTGTAGTTACTTCTGGAGGTGTAGGTGTTTTGAGCAGATTTTCTTAAGAGGAGATCATAGGAGAAGAGGGATCTGCAAAATTTGAGTATATGAGATTTTAATCAAACAAGAATTGGTTAGAATTTCTAATACTTGTCAGTTTAATAGTTGAAAGGTAGTATCTCATTGCACTTTTGTCTGATTACTCATGGCTTGGAGCATCCCTTTAACCACTTGTTAGCACTTTGGCTTTCTTCTCTTGTAAATTCCCTTCTTATATTCTCTGCCTGTTATCTCTTAGAG